ATATGTTTCTCAATGGTATTTTATAAGGACACAGACAAAGAATAACATAAGCACCAGTTGTCCTCCTAAAATACACCTGGCAGTGCGTGTGTGTGTGTGTGCGTGTGTGTGCGTGTGTGTGTGCAAACCATACTTAGTTGCGTATAGTTATAACAATAGATAAATAAAATTCTATATATATTTATTAATATACTAATTATTATGTAATTATATACCAATTATATATAGTTATATATCGACTGTATATAATTATATATAACTTAATACAGTTGTATATAGATTATATATAATGACAGATTATATATCTTTCCTTAGCCGTACTTCACTTAGAATGAGGTGCGCTCGATCTAAGAGGCGAGGATCACCATTCTGCAATTTGCGAAAATTGTCAGTTTCAAATGGCTGTAATTCGAAAACTATCCATTTTGGGACTTTGGGCCCATTGACACTTTTGATCTACATGATCTGAACTATCATTTGCCCCAATTTCAAGACATTCGACTGAGAGCCATTTCCCTATCATTTCCTGCGGGGTCCTTTCAAAAAAATCTGTAGAAACTCAATTTCTCTGAGAAATACCTTAAGAAATACATCTAGATGATATAATATAAGTTCTCCGAGGTAGAACGAGATGAGGTCTCTTTACTAAACTGACAGAACCAGAGTCTCTGAGTCTTAAATTTAAATGTGAGCTAATGGTGAAAATAATTTGGATCCGGAAAATACAACGTCAAAAATATAAATAATATTACGAATTCAAATAACAGTAGTACGCTTGGTTAAGCAATTCCGTGTCTGTACTTAAATTGACGTTTTTTTTTTCGTTTGATTATTACCATTTTCGAAATTAAACTCTTCTTATACTTTCTCTCTGCATCCAAAACTGCAATTTCGTTCTACTAACATCATGTTCAAATTATAACGGGCGATTAATTACAACACAGTTAGTGGTATTCCTTTTTATGTGACTCTTATGTTCAAGAAGTTCTGGTATTTAACTGTCTCTCTGCCAGTTTGTCAAACATATGTAGCGTCGCAATTATTACAAGATATTTGTATAAACTACATTTTCATGAAAAAAAATGGTAAGAGCATTTTTCTGTGCTTTGATAAAACAAGATAATTTATCAGACTGAAAAACGACAATTTCGAAACGTATAGTTAACATCGTTAACATACGTCTAAATTTTTCTGAAACCTACTCTACACTGTTAGAAATGTTCTTAAATTTCATTAACTTTTAATGTACATTGGTGAATGAAGTTTAATTTCT